AGATGTTACTAAAGATTCCATCAGCAGAATATTTTTGAATGGTACTGGAAGGGAAGATATCATACCATCAGGTTTTTTATTTTATCTATATATAAAAAGAAAAAATGTATATATATAAATTTTTATTTAGTTTAGGTTTATTTAACACAATTTTTAACCAAAACTTTTGAAGTTTTTTAAATTATTTATGATAGTTGATATTTTCTTTTTTAATCTCTTTGAGTTCACTAACCACCATTTTGTCATGGAAAATGAGACAATAGTTAATCACTATTTTCTTTTTTAATCTATTTGCAGTAGAAAGGTTAACACTGAAAAAATTTTTTTAAACAGGTCTTCCAGCACCTGATGGTATAGCTATTGACTGGATAGCTGATATTCTCTATTGGACGGATGCTGATACAGATAAAATTGAAGTTTCTCGACTTGATGGTAAATTTCGAAAAGTAATTGTGTCAAAAGAACTTTCACAACCACGTGCAATTGTACTCCACCCTGTTAAAGGGTAAATTTATTATTATTATGTTTATTATATAATTAATTTTTCTATTATTAGTTATTTCATTTTTGTTCAGTTTTTCATTTTTTTTATCACAGTTGTTTACTTAAATATTTGTTTTCCATATTGTATGTGTGTTTGTACTTGTACATAAATGTATATATATATATATATATATATATATACATTTAGCTGTATATATATATATATATATATATATATATATATATATATATATATATATATATATACATATATATATATATATATATATATATATATATATATATATATATATATATATATATATATATATATATATATATATATATATATATATATATATATATATATAGAGAGAGAGAGAGAGAGAGAGAGAGAGCGAGAGATCCAGGCAGGTATAGATGCTTTTATTCCTTCTTTTCAGTTTCAAGCCATGCCAAAGTTGCTTCTCTTTATTGTGCTCACCTTACTTTATTCCTGATTTTGTTCTCTATCTCTATAAATCTTTTATTTGTCTCATGATAAGATCCAAAAATGCATTTTAAATGCAGTTGTTTAAGCTGCCAAGCTTAAGCCTCTATCCATTTTTAAAAAGTTGTATCTCTTTCACTTCTCTAAACACTATCATGGTTACTGGTCAAAGGAACTATCATCTCTGGTTCCATCAGCTAAAATTCATTCTTACTTTATTATTCAGCCAAGTCACATTCTTTTACTGTATCTGTCCCTTTATGCTCTAAAATTTTTTTTATTCATCTAGTTTTTTTCCCCACACTTCAATGCTTTGGAACTCTCTCCAGTTATCATGTTTTCCTGACTCATACAAGCTTCAACTATATTTATACAAGTCTTCTGTCAATTGTTTCCTTGTTCTTTTACTCTATTCTTTGCTTTCTAGTAACTCTCAACTTAATATAGGTTGTTTGCAGCCTTGTTGGGAGTGAATTAGAATTTAGAAAATATATACATTTACAAATTTTGAAATACTTTAAAAGTTATACAATGTACTTTTTATCCTTTAAATATATAAATATATATTACTTACTAATATATATAAATTAGTAATACGTATATATAATTTAGTTTTTAATTTTTCTGGTCAGTTTTAAACTTTATTTAGTTTTAGATAAAAAAATTCAAACCCTATTTTTCATATCAAGACGAAATAAATTTATCTTGATTTCTTTAGTCAATTTAAATATTAAGTTTTTTACTGTATTGGTATAGTTGTAGAAGCATTATAAGAAAATTGATCCTCTTTTATAAGAAGGTTAATCCTCTATTAGTTCTGTGCAAAACTTATTTCTCCACACAGTTGTGGTTGTTTTGAAGTTAAAGATTTATGAGAGGATTGTTAAAAAATACTTTTATTAAGGAGAATACAGTATATACATAAAAATCTTTTACAGCTATTTTATAAACTATATGGTGTATTTTAAAAAGGTTTCCCCAGCATGTCACTCTTAGCATTCATAATATCTGAATATAAGATATTCATGTTTTATTATTGATTTCTGACTTAACAGACACTGAATATAAGAAATTCATCAATATATTTTATTATTGATTTCTGACTTAACAGACAATTAATATAAGAATTTTTTTTTTTTTTAAACAAGTCATCACAAAAGCTAAAAACTTAATTATATTTTAGAAAAATGGTTTGGACTGATTGGGGTAGTAAAAACATTGAAAGTGCATCATTAGATGGTACTAATCGTTTAGTTCTTGTGAAAGAGGGTATAGGGTATCCAAATGGTGTAGCAATTGATTATGAAACAGATAGAATTTATTGGTGTGATGCTCTTTATGACAAAATTGAATCAATTTTTCTCGATGGTTCAGATAGAAAAGCAGTTGCTATTAAAGGAAAATATACAATTTCTCATCCGTTCGGAATTTCAGTGTTTAATGGTGATCTTTATTGGACTGATTGGAGTAGAAGATCAATCTCAAGGTTAAATATGACATCTGGAAAAGTGACTGAAATGCGCACAAACCTTCTCAGCTTAATGGGATTAAAAATTTATCACAAAGATCAACAAAAAGGTATTTAAGTATATTAAAATTCATTTTAGATATGAGTTTAAATTTTAAGTTTATTTATTTTTTTAAATTTATTTCAAGTCAAAATATTTGTTTTATAATACGTTAAATATTTGTAAAATTAAGAATAATATTGTATGTACCTTGTTTTTATTATTATTATTATTATTATTATTATTAAATATTATCATTATACTATCATATATACATATATGATAGTATAATGATAATATTTAATATATATATATATATATATATATATATATATATATATATACAGTGACTCTCAAAAGTCAGTTGACATTTAAAAAAAGTGAATATTTAGGCATTATTTTATGAATGAGAAGATATTTATGGGTAAAAAGTATTTAGTTTAATAGAAAAGAAAAAGAATGTTTAAAATAAAAATAGAACAGCAGTTGATTAACGTTAGAACGATAAAAAATTAGGTAAAACGCAAAAATGTGCGGCTCAAAAGTTTGTTGACAGCGACAAGAACACAATTTTAAACAAAATAGTTTTGTTATTTTGTTGCAAATGCAATCCATTTAATATTTTGTTGGTCTGCCTTTAACATCGATAACTGCTTGCAAGCGTTTCGGTATCGAAAGTACTAATTTTTGATTGAAATTAGTGTCAATTTCTTCCCAATGATGTTTGATTGTTGTAAACATGTCATTTTTTGATTTTTGTTTTGAGGAATAGTTCTATCCAAGTATTCCCATATATTTTTGATTATATTTAAATCTGACGATTGAGCAGGCCAATCGAACTTGAAAATTTCATGATCAGCGAACCAATCTTTGACGATCTTTGCTGTATGTTTTGGATCATTATCCTCCTACCAGATAAAATTGTCCTCTATCCTTAATTTTGCCGCAGAAGCAAAGACGTTTCGCTGTACAATGTCGAGATAAACTTCTTTAGTCATTTTATCATTGATCAACTTGATAATACCAGGGTCGTTTCATGAAATAGAACCCCACAGCATTACCGACCCACCACCAAACTTGACTGTAGGTATCATACATTGCATCAAAACTCCTCTTTTTTTTTTCTGAAGACCGTTCTTTTCTTTGTTGATTGGAGTTCAAACTTGCATTCGTCTATCCATATTACAGATTTCCAGACTTTGAGTGGCACTTTTATATTCATTGTAACAAACGCCAGCCTCTTTGTTCAATTATTTATAGAGATGAATGGTTTTTTTCTCATTGCTTTACTGTATAATCCGATATCATTGAGACGTCTTCTAATTGTTTGAAGAATAATTGCCAAATTTAATTCGTTTTTAAGTTCTATTGGACTCATGTTTGGCGTTGCAACCAATGATCTAACGATCTGTCTATCATCTCTTACAGCTGTCTTCCTTGGTTGACCTGATCTAATTGAATTTTCTACCGTTTTTCGCTGGTTCATTTGCTTAACGATCATCCTTACACCTTCCGCACTCAATCCAAATATCTTTGCTACTTCTCTCAATGACTTTCCTTCCTCTTTAATTAAACAATAAGTTTCAATCCTGGTATCAGTCGAAGTTTCACAGTGTGCTATCTCAAAAAAGTTTATTTTGTCAATATGCTGTTCAAAACAGTGTCATTTAAAATATTATTTAACTTAATTAAGCCATTATTCTGCTTATTTCATTAACTTACCGGTGATTGTATATTAAAAAAACATTTGTCAACAGACTTTTGGATTTAGCCAAATTTATAAATCATGATATATTAACGTATCTATTTATATTTTTTGCTATTTTTGTAATACTTTAAAAATATAACTGTATCTCGAAGGGAATTTTGCAAAATTTTGCTTTTCTTTTTGGTTTTTGATCGCGATACAGCAGTTTTTCACAAAATATATGCCTGTCAACTCACTTTTGAGCATCACTATATATATATATATATATATATATATATATATATATATATATATATATATATATATATATATATATATATATATATATATATATATATATATATATATATATATATATATATATATATAAAATATAAAAGAATATTTAAAACATGATAAAAGTATATTTGTTTTAATTTTTAATTTATAATTTATTATAATTTATAATTTACTATAAACTTATTTATTATAATAATTGTTTTTTTTTTTCTGTATCATTTATGAACTTCAATAGTAATGTATTTATGTTATATAATGTAATGTATTGTATACACACAAATAATTTATTTTTAACTTCTTACTGATTTTTGTTAATAAATTTGTTTAGGTACAAATCCATGTGCACAGGGAAAGAACATATGTTCACACTTATGTTTTGCAACAAATGAATCTTTCACTTGCGGATGTGCTACTGGTTTTGAATTGCATCAAAACAACAAGTCCTGCATCAGTTCAAAGTCATTTCTACTTTATTCTACAACTACTGGTATGTAGAATGTTTGCTTAGTTAAATAAAAAAATAAACCCACTCTTGTTAAATCAATCTAGATTGACCTATTGATGGTATCTCAAACTAGACTAACATAGTCTTACATAGTAAATTAATCTAATTTGATTTAACTTATGTTAAAATTAGATTAACTTTTGTTAACTCAAGCTAATCTACTATAGGTAAAGTAGACTAAATATTAAAATTTTTATAGCTTTTAGGTTATATACAAATTCTTTTTAAAAACCAAGTAATTAATAGCGAATTGAACTTAAGAAACTGGGGCATTGAAGCTTAAGACGGTATTTATAATAAAAATATTTGTTTCTTTATTTCAACTGTGCCAAATATGTGAGATATGTGACTACCAGCGAGATAAGTGACACATGAGATAATAGATAAGTGAAGTAGATAAATATGTCAGACTAATATAGTACTTATTTACTTTTTTTCCTATTTAATACAAATTTCAGTTTTATTATGAAACTTTTCTTACATTTATTCCATACTTCATTTAAGTAATATAAAAGTACAAAATATAATCAGAAAAAGGTAAATACAAGAGTGAAGTAAATGAAATTATAAGGTTAACTAAAATTTACTGTTCCTGTAAAATACGAAAAAATATTTTTGGAAATTCTAAATGAGCTATTTTAATGCATGATTTTTTAAAGCCTTAAAGATATGAAGCATAAATGGCAGGTTTATGCCCCAAGCAATTTTTTTTAGTTAATTCTAAAAATTTAAGTTTTTAGAACTTAATGCATCATTTAAACTCTTGCATTGCTTCCCAAATAAAAAATACTTTTCTAAAACAATAGTTTCAAGTTTATCTTATAAACAATTTCTATGAAAGTAAAAAATAAGTAACATAATCTTTTCTCAGATAAATGGGCATGCCTAGTTTCTTATGAATCGTTTATTTTGATGAATATTTGAACAGAATTGATTATTTCACTCTTCATATTTTCAGAATGTTGCAATAAACATCTGAAAAGTTTTTAAGGGAACATTTAAGTTTCAGACACTCTAAGAAATATGCAATGGGAATTGCCAATAAACCAAATATGCTAGTTGTAAGCTAGTAACTCTAAACTAACGTCACTTAATTGGCAACTCCAGTCATTCAACATTAAAAAAAAAATTATTGAAGTATTATTAGTTTTTTTTTTTATTGTGGTTAGTGGAAGTTGTTTTTTTTATTGTGGTTAACTGCAGTCTTTCAAGATTAAAAAAAAATTATTGAAGTATCAATAGTTTTTTTTTTTTTTTTATTGTGGTTAGTGGAATTATCAAAAGTTGTTTTTTTTAATTGTGGTTAGTGGAATTATCAAAAGTTGTTTTTTTTAATTGTGGTTAGTGGAATTATCAAAAGTTGTTTTTTTTAATTGCGGTTAGTGGTTAGTAAAAGTATTTTAGTAAAATCTTACTTATTTTTTGAATCAGTTTTTATTTCTTTACTAAAATATAATAACTATATTTTCATTCGTTGTTGGAAATTGCGTTATGTTTACTTATAGTATTAATTTTCTCAGTCTTATTGTTTTATAGAGTTTAGTAAAGTTATGGAGGCCTAAATTATTAATCAATATGACCAATAAATAGAGAAATTCTAAATTTAAATGATGGAAGATATTAGAGCAGTGAAAAATTATTATTTCAAATGTTAGCACAAACAATTTTTGAAGCAATTATTTGTTTGTGCATCTGTTTGTTTGCATTAAAAGAAATAGACTGAGCAATTTATGTATCATATCTATGGTAATTAGATTGCTAATTACATTCAACAGTGTCCATTGAAACACGTTAGTTACCAGTTTTCTCTGTTTATTTAAAATGAATTTTAACTTGTGCAGAACTTCTCAAATGGTATTTCAAACTATACGAAAACAGGATTCTGTAATATCAGGTGAAATTTGGATGAAATTGACAGTATATCCAGGATAAAGGTTTTTTATACCAGCTGATAGTATAAAATTTCTACCAGTATGCTAATATTATTAAGTATTAATAATTATTTTAAATAACATTAACTTTTTTAAATAAAAAATTGCTTTTTAAAATTTAAGAAAAACATAATGTTTTTTACTACCTATTAATTAGAAAAATAAAATAGCAAAGTGATTCCTTGATTTTAAACAAAGTTATATGTTGTCAAACATGGCCATAATGGTAAGTTATACAGCTCAAAAGGCTCTTAAAAATAAAACATGACAAATTTAGATTAAATAATTTTTTACAATGAACAAGAATAATGCTATAAAGAACTTACAGGGATAATGTTATAAACAACTTACAGGTACAATAGATGTGAAAACAAGGTAGACCAGTCTTGTTGCAAACCTAACAAGGTTTCTTTAATTAAAAATATGTATGAAAAAAACAATGATAAAAAAAGAAACTCAATATCTCCAAAGAAGAATACGCAATAATAAATGCAATAATGAATGTAAAAGTTATTTTTATTTTTATTATTAACATTTTAATTTATAGTTATAATTATTATTTCCATTTTTCTGTTTTTTTATTGGTTGCTGCAACCAATAAAGAATAAAATAGAATGGTTTAGCAGAGCCTTTTTATTCAATTGAATTTATATCCATCGATGGTTAAGAAGAGAAAAATAATTTTGATTCTTATAAGTTTTAATTTGTAAAAATTTAAATAACATTATTTAGCATAACTGATCATAAAACCAACTTGAATCTGGAGTATTATTACCTAGTTTTTATTTGTTAATATGCCTATTATTTATCACCTTTTCTTTACCAAATCACATTGTCAAATACTTCTTTGTTTTACTAGATCACATAAAAGAAATCTTTCAATAAATAATTAAATTAAATTTTTTTCTTTTATAGAAATACGTGCAACACCGTTTAATGAACAGGAATCTGACTCAATAGCTCCCATTTTAGGGTTAAAATCTTCTTATGCTATTGATTTTTTGTACAAAACAGGAACAATTTATATTGCTGATGATATGGAGCGTGCTATCTTTAAAGTCCAAAAAGATGGAAATAAGTTGGAGAAGATTATTACGACAGGACTTGAAAGACCTCAAGGCATAGCAGTAGATTGGATTGCAGAGAATATTTATTGGAGTGATGCTGGCTCCAATCTTATTGAAGTAATTTTTTTAAATAAAAATTTTTTTAGTTATCTCTCCTTATTCTTCCAAGATATTCTCAACCTCACTTGGAACTTTCTTTTATCTGAACACTTTTTATGTTTAGATAAATAAAATTTTTAAAAAATGCTTTAAACTATTTTTACTTATCTGAAGTAAAAAATGATTTTAAAAAAAAGTTTTGCAATATAAAAATTATAAAAATATGAAAAGAGTTTTATAAACTGAATTTTTAAAACAAAAATGTTTATTACTAGACCAATATAATGATGTGATAATAGAATATAAAATTAGTGTTTCAAGTGTGAGCTGTTAAATAACAATAAATATGAGTTTAGGTCAGTTTCAAACATTTTTTATTTTGATTTAGATCTAATAATACCAAACCCAGTTCTATGACACACACACACACACACACACACACACACACACACACACACACACACACACACACACATATATATTTAAGCATATTTTATTTAATAATGGATATTTCAAAATAAAATAAAACAAAAAAATTGTATAATCTCTTTATTGATACTTCTTGCCCTGGTTAACCTTTTTAATGACTGATTAAAAAATAATTTAAGGATAAGTAACGTTATTTTGATAGCGCCAAAGCGCAGAATATCTAAAATACCCACAACAAAAACAAAGTATGTAAGGATTCAATTTTTGAAAATTTTCGAATCGAATCTCAAATCATTTTTTGATTCGATTCGAAATTTCAAAGCTTTGCAGGGCCTTAATATATATATATATATATATATATATATATATATATATATATATATATATATATATATATATATATATATATATATATATATATATATATATTTTATTTATCTTCGCTTCCAACAAGACTGCAAGCAACCACTAGTTAGTGTTGGAAGTTACTGGAAGAGAAAAGATGAAGATTGTAGAGCAAGATAACGATTGACAGACGACTTAAAAGATTGCAAATAATATGAATCAGAGATATTATATGAATCAGATATAAATATATATATATATATATATATATATATATATATATATATATATATATATATATATATGTATATATATATATATATATATATATATATATATATATATATATATGTATATATATATATATGTATATATATATATATATGTATATATATATATATATATATATATATATATATATATATATATATGTATATATATGTATATATATATATATATATATATATATATATATATATATATATATATATATATATATATATATATATATATATATATATAAACATCGCGCTGGACAATTTTCTTCATGCCAAGGCCTGATATATATATATATATATTTTATTTATTTTATAAATCTTTATTTATAATTGAATAGCATTACAAGTAATGAATTGTACAATTTTGTCTGTCCTTTAATGTTAATAGTTTTCTAAGAATGCAGGTTAAGAAACATATCAATTATGCATTGAAAAGGCAGTAGAGCTCCCAATATTGCTTGGGAGGTAAAGGTCACTGATGCCATCACGAAGGACACAGAGATATTTTTAAATAAAAGATTTTTAGTAAGTAGTAGTTTTTGCAGTGTTAAGAGCATACGGGAATCTATTAGGGTTTCTGCTGTTGGTGTGAGTTAATTTAGTGGTTATAGGGTGGATGGATGACATGAGTCTGCAAGGATCTTTTTGAGTATATTAATACAGATCCTTTCTAGTAACTCTTCAATGTCAAAAATAATATTGAAGCTGCTTGAATTGGTAACATCAATTCCAATAATGTGTAGGGCATTTTTATGAAATTGTTGAAATCTCTCTATTTGCAGCAGCACTGCATTAAGTAAGAATAGGAGCACTATATATCAAGTGGCTAATAGCGTAAGATATATCAAGTGGCGTAAGCACATATATATATATATATATATATATATATATATATATATATATATATATATATATATATATATATATATATATGTATATATATCTACTATAGCATATTTATATGCGCAATTTCGTTTTGAGAAAACGATGAGGGAAAACAAAGAATAATGAATGAAAAGGTTGCTGACCCAAACCAAACCCTCAGTCGATGTAGCGGCACTCTACTGCGAGTCAGGCTATTTGTCAGTCGATGTATGTACTGAAGCCCCCACAGCAGGCTATTTCAGTATGATGTCATATGCTCACTTAACTCAGCAGTATAAGAAATATATGTATGTATATGTGTATATATATATATATATATATATGTATATATATATATATATATATATATATATATATATATATATATATATGTGTGTGTGTGTGTGTGTGTAAATATATATATGTATATGTATATATATGTGTGTATATATATATGTATATGTATATATATATATATATGTGTATATATATATATATTTATATATATATATATATATATATATATATATATATATATATATATATATATATATATATATATATATATATATATCAGGCCTTGGCATGAAGAAAATTGTCCAGCGCTATATTTAGCTCCCATAAAACTCGAAAATTTTTTTAGCAAGCGCGATTAGGCATGCTTGTTGTTAAGTTATCGGGTGTTGTCAATGATGCAGTATTTTCCTCCACTCTAGCTGTTAACTTTTGCAGCAATATTCAAGAGATTTATAACTTTTTTTCTGGATCAACCCTTAAATGGAGTACATTAATAAATTATGTAAACAATTTGATTATTAATCCTTCAAGACCATTAGGAGAGATAGACACCCTTTTTATTTTACCGATGTTATGATGCTGTCTAATCTAAAGATTTTAAGATTATGTAAAAATTATGTAAACAATTTGACTATTAATTCTCCAAATAAAACCCAATGGGAGAGCAGGATAGACGCTCTTAATTCTTTGCCATATTACATTGATGAGGTTTATGACGCTGTATAATCAAAAGATTTTAAGATGCTTTTGGAAAGTTTACTGCTATTTGGGAATTGCCAAGAAAATTACAGATTTCAAATTCTTCTGCTTTTTGGTCTCTCGGTATGATGTCTCGTTCAAATTTAGTTTAGTAAGCAAAACACTTAAGATAAAAATTGTTAATCTGCAGAGCTCAATGAAACTAATTGAAAGTGTCAAGACTTTTTTTAAGAACATGAGATTGAAAAATGAACTGTATAGTGTTATTATAAATGCCATGGAACTGGTAGAAAAATTGTACATCAATCTAGGGCCGTCCTGAAAAGATGTTAAAGAAACATTTGTTTATAATATATTTAGCCAGGCTTTTTCTCAGCCATCAGTTGTGTAAACAAGCGTAGAAAGAATGTTGGCAATAATATATCTTATTTTAGATTTCCAAAGGTAAAAATAGATAAGTAATTATTATTCAAATCAAATTTATTAAATGACTTGTATATCAAGAATTTAAAGAAACTTTCAAAACATTGTTTTACTTTAAATTTCATGAAACAAAAAATATTTATAGATAATATGATGTAAATAATTTCACTAAATTAATTAGGTTTAACCTATTATTTAGATGCAAGCTTTAGGTTTGTAATTTTCGTTATCAAGATCTTGATATAAAATCATATGAAGAACATAATCTTAACTATTTGTAGTGAACATTTTGATTCTTCCCAATACTATCTTGCCAATAATGATAGTAAAAGAGCACTTGTAACTATTGTACCAACAATTTTTAACTTTCCAAATCAACCTTCTACCTTATATTTAAAGAGAAAACAGCCTACAAACAGACTTAATTTACAAGATAAAATACAAAAAAAAAAGAAATCAACGATAAAGTGGAATTAAATAAAATAAATAGTGTTGAGAATAGTATTACAAATAATGTAACTGTCAAAACTACTTTTAAAAGTAAGTATTTATTATCTCAAGTTAAGATTTTTCGACTTGAAAAATGCAATGGTTCAATAGAACATATTATTAATTTGTCTAAAAAATATTTAACAAACACTCAACTTAAATTTTTTGAGTCAATTATGTATGAATAATCGTGTCAAACAAAGAAAATGTTGGACTGTTGATGATAAAATTTTAGCTTTAAAAATCATGTATCGCAGTCCACAAGCTTTCAAAATGTTTAGAAAAGTTTTTTTCGTTACTTTCTAGAAGCACTATTTTAATGTTTCTTGAAAAATCTTTTGGGACCCTAGTATCTGGTTTTTACAATAAGGTGATGGCTTTACTAAAAATGCGAGTAGATACCATTAAAAAATTGGAGCGAAACTGTAGCCTTGTTTTTGATGAAATGTCTTTAAAGCAACATCTTGATTATTACAAAAACAATGACAAGATCATTAGGATTCAATCTAATGGCAAACCAGTAAACCAAGTACTTGTATTGATGGTCCGTGGATTATCATCAAAATGGAAACAACCAATTGCATATTTTTACAGTAATACTACTATGTGTTTAACCAATTTAGCTAAGATAGTAAATAATGCCATGATTCATCTACATAAAATAGGTTTAGCTGTAAGATGTCTTGTTTGTGATCAAAGCTCGAGTAATTTAAGAGCTCTCAAATTTTTAGGATATTCATTAATAAAACAACAAATTTCACATCCAACTACAGGAGCAAAAGTTTATATAATATTTGATCCACCACATCTTATAAAAAATGTTAGAAACAATTTAATAAAACATGACATTTTATATGATAGTAAAATAATATCGTGGAAGCATCTGGAAGAACTTTATAATTTAGACAAGGTTAATACTGTGCGACTTGTGCCAAAGTTGACAGATCATCATTTAGATCCAGGATCACTATTAGCCATGCGAGTAAAATTGGCAACAAAAATCTTTAGTAGTCAAGTTGCTACTGCTTTGACTGAATATGTTTCTGCAAAACTATTGCCTGAAAATGTTTTGTCAACAGCTTTTTTTATTAAAAATATGGATATTTTATTTGACATCTTGAACTCTCATAAACTATAAGCAGATAAATTAACATGCTCTGCTTTAACTCTAAATAGTAGTTTTATAAAAAGCTTGAAGATTTAAGAGTTTATATTAAGGGTTGGCATTTTTCTGGTGCTCGCAACCAAAAAAGTATATCCAGTCATTAGGGTTTGGATGTCACTATTTCTAATATTCTTTGTCGTGCAAACGAGTTGATTCATAAGAATTTTTTTTATGTTTGCACAGCTCAATTTAATCAGGACTTTTTAGAATTTTTTTTTTGCATTAATATGAAGCAAAGGAGGCTGGAATGACAGACCAACATCAATGCAGTTTAAATCAGTATATAAAAATGTCTTAGTACTCCTTTTAATAAAACAATATAACTCTAACAATAATTGTCTCCCTGAATCATATTTCTCAACTGTAGTTACCATTGACTCAATCACCAACATAGTATTTGAGAATCAAATTTCTGCAAATAAACAAATGATTTTCAAACATCCAACTGCATTATTTAAAAAAAAACAAAAACCTTAAGTCTGTCAAAAATGTGTACATGTTCTTTCAAGTGTGACACCCTGTGAAAGTAACTTATTTAATTCTGATCCTTTTTTACAAAACCTACTTCACGCAATGGAAACTGTTTTTGTAACGCAAATGAAACTTATATTAACTAAAAAAATATTATACAACAAATTATTAAAGTAATAAAAAACGATTGCAATTTTACATTTCTTTATGATGAACATATTGATCATGCTTTTCATTTAAAAGAAAGTTTATTCAGACACTATGTTTATATGAGAATATCTTTTTATATAAGGTTTATAATTGTAATCTGGCATCACGAAACAAGACATGTAAAAATAAGTTAGATCACATTATCCATGCTTGATTTTATTTTAATGATAATTCTTGAAACAAGATATTTATTATTTTAATTTATAAAAGAAAAGTTTTTTTATGGGAAGCCCTCTGGTAAGAATAATGCAAAGGTATAAATATTTCACTAAGAGTTGTGTTGTTTATGATTACTTGGTCCTGCAAGACATCCCACAATGCTTTGTGGCTAAAATTACATATATTTATTGGGAGTTGGCAGGCATTGTACCAAACAAAAATTATAAATATTAATAAAAATATTATAAATAAAAATAATAGAATAAATAAAAATATTAAAAAATAAGTAATAAAATAAATAAAAATATTTAAAAAAAAAAAAAATGTAAACTAAATAAAAATCTAATATGACAATTTATATAAAAAAATTAAAAAAATGTTGATACACAATTCTTAATGCAAATAATTTGAAAAAAGAAATTCGAGAACAAATTCGCGGCTTCATTAAAAGTTGTATTTATTGTTATGGTTTTTAATATTTCTGAAAATATGATGCATCTTCATCTATGTAAATATGATGTATCATCATCTATGCAAATATTATACATCTTCATATATGCAAATATAATACATTTTTATCTATGCATATATGATGTATCTTCATCTATGCAAATATGAAACATCTTCATTGAATGATGAAATATGTTTCAGTTAATATTACAAATGCAAGTATTTCTTTTTTAATTATTATTTTTTCAACATTTTTTTTTTTAAGTTTTGATAATAAAAAATCAATTGCAAAATTATCTAAAGTTAGTTTTCTTTTTATATTTTTTTCTTTGTTTCTTTATCATGAATGTTATATTTATTAAGATTGCTTTTAAAAGTTATGATCATATAAAATTTGGAATAAATTTTATTGTTATCATGTATTAACTTTTAAATGTCATAAGACTTATAATATTGATTGATGAATTTTGAAAAAATCTTTTTCTAATGAAATCAATTTTTTCCAGCACATTTAAGAGTTTGTCGGAAAGCTTTCAAACATTAATAAAATGTTTTACATCATTTTAAACATATTCTTTGGATTTTTGTAATTTTTTAGGTTTCAAGGCTAAATGGCTCCCATAGAATTGTACTAATAAATAATGGAATTGAGAACCCTCGTGCTCTTGCTGTATACCCTAGTAAAGCTTTTATCTACTGGACTGACTGGGATAATAAAGCACCAAAAATTGAGAGATCAAATCTGGATGGAAGTAACAGAATAGTATTAGTAAACACAACCATAATGAAAAGTATCGGAGAAAATATTGGTTGGCCAAATGGTTTAACAATTGATTACGACACTGACACTATCTATTGGGTTGACGCAAAATTTGATATGATAATGACTATGAATATACATGGAGGTTTTATTTTTTTTATTTAAATGTCCATGGTTTCACATTAGTGTGTTTTAAACAAGTTTTCATAATGTCATATTCCTATTAAAATATATGACATTATGAAATGGTAAAGCAATTTTTTACAACTGTTTACCCTCCCTGGCATTAACCTTGCTTGCAGATCAGGACTTAATATTTTTATTCCTCTAGAAAGAGTACTAACCACAATTTATGGATTTCTTCTGCCATAAATTTCTATATCAAAATATCAGAATTTAGAGGGTTTTACATTTTTTTTCTCCTAAAAAAGTTGCTTTAACCTCAACTTTTAAGGAGCTTAACTGAAGAATTTTATGAAATTTTAACTGCAGCAAATAAATGAAATTTTTTCAATATTTAAAAATTGTTATTACATTTTTAATAATTCAAATTTTGTTTTGTTTTTTAGAAAACATAAAAAGGCTAAATATTTCTGCTCATCTTCCTCATATGTATGCTATAACTGTTTACAAAGATAATCTTTATTGGACAGATTGGAATGAAAAATCAATCTTTAAAGTGTCTAAAACTGGTGAATTGGTGAATGTTTTGCGTGGAAAGATTGAAAATATAAGAGACATTCATGCTTATGATGAATCAAGACAAACAGGTTTTTTGTTGTTGTTGTTGTTGTTGTTGAGGTATTTACATTCTGATTGTTTCCAGTGGCATGCTGGCTCCAAAAAGCTCATGCATGGTTTTTCTAAAAATGGCCCATAATTGCTGGATTTTACTATAAATACTTGATTTGAAGGCCCATAAACACGATAATGCTTTGTTTTATAAAGGGTATTAAAGTAATATAAGTAGAACTTGGCATTATAAAAAAGTAGGTGTAACTGCTTAAAAGTGTAATAATTATAGATTTTAAACAAAGATTGAGTGTTTAGGAGAAGGTAGAAAAATTAATTGATAATTTTTGAGATAATAGAAAAATCAATGGGCAATTTTTATCGCCCGATGGATAATTGCTAAAACAATATTTTGTGTTTAAAAATATTTTTATCTTACTGAACAATATGTAATACAGGATTAATAAATGCTTTTATAATATTGATATTACAATTACAAAGTTTTATTTAAAATAAGTTTGCCTGATAACTTGTAAAACTAGAATTTCTTTAACTTTTGTTAATACAAAATATGCGCATTACTAATCAAAATAAAACAAGAAAGTTGATTACTTGATATTTAAAATCTTATTTATTATTATTTTTTTTAAATGTTAATTTACCTCCCCAAGGCCAAGAAGCCCACTACAGTTGAGGAGGCTGCTATAATTGTGGTTACAACTCTTGCTCAATTTTGTAACAAAACGTGAACTCTGCCAAACAAGGCCGCTGCGTGGAAAAACGAGGCAAGTGCTCTACCACTACATGATTACCACATTTGTGTTTAAAACATTAAAAACATTTGTGTTTAAAACATTAAAAACAATTGTGTTTAAAACATTAAAAACAATTGTGTTTAAAACATTAAAAACAATTGTGTTTAAAACATGAAAAACATTTGTGTTTAAAACATTAAAAACATTTGTGTTTAAAACATTAAAAACATTTGTGTTTAAAACATTAACAACAATTGTGTTTAAAACATTAAAAACATTTGTGTTTAAAACATTAAAAACAATTGTGTTTAAAACATTAAAAACATTTGTGTTTAAAACATTAAAAACATTTGTGTTTATACAAAACATTAAAAAGTCAGATTCTTTTTTTTCTTTTTTTTGTCATTTAAAAAAATTTTACGCTTTGAAATTTTTTTAAATAAATTAATTTTAATTGAAATTTGAAATTACCTTTTTAAATAAGTTTTTACGTAATAACTTGGAATTTAACTAATTAATTTCTTTTGTTTGGGGAACTCTTTATCTATTTAAATAGAGTGATTAGATATAAGTAACTATAAAGTTTACTAATCATAATTATGCCATAAAGTTAACTTATATTACATACAAGTTATATAAAAGTGGCAAATTTTTACAAACGTAATAATAATAAAATTTAATATACAATTGTAATAAGTAGGAAAGAGCAAAACTAGTTGCAACAGGTGTAAGTTGCAACAATACATTTTAATAAATGGTATTTGTATATTATTCAAAAAATTTACATTATAGCTATAATTATAACACATCATCAGATAAAATATATATATATATATATATATATATATATATATATATATATATATATATATATATATATATATATATATATATATATATATATATATATATATATATATATATATATATATATATATATATATATATATATATATATATATATATATATATATATATATATATATAAAGTAATTAAAAATTTCCAAAATTTGTTCATAACTTTATTTTTCAATATAAAAGTCTGTTTTTTTTTTTCAAAACTTTTTTGGATTTACTGTAAACTTACAGGTATATGACCATAATAAAATAATGGTAGGTTAAAAAATCTATTTCAGATACAAAAAGCTATTTAAAAAAAAAAATTTAATGTAAATATTTATTTAATGTAAATATGCATTAATTTGAATGATCATGATGCCTTATGGGGTAAATTGCATCAAATTGCTTGGGGTAAGTTGAATCATAAAATAACTGCAGGTTTTTAGGATTTTACACACTTTTCTAGTTATTTCTAAAGTAATGGAGTCTTTTTCTACATCAACAAAAAAAAAAGTATTAAAGAAATTTTTAAATTAAAATGTTCTTTGGTTTCTTTGATTCGTTTTTTTTTATTTGTAAATATGTTTATGTAAATTATTTTTATGTTTTAAGCAAATGAAACATTCAATAATATTTAAATAAAATTTGTTGCTAAGAAATTCTTTTTTTGTTTAAGTAAAGTTTGTTGCTAAAAAATCCTTTTTTTGTTATCTAAGTATGATTTTAGTTTGTTTTTTATGTAAATTTTGTTTAACATTTGTTTTATTTTTTTACATTTTATTTCTTTCTAAAATAAAATGTTATTGTGTTTTTATATCCCAAAAACAGATCTTCTAAATTAAAAACTTTTTTTTTTTTTTTTTTTTGCATCTTTCTGAACTAATTTATTGTTTTTTGCTATTGAATATTTTCAACTAAACAAATCAGGTAAATGTGAAGTCTTGCATAATAAAAGTATTTCAGGTCAATAAAAATACTACTTTTTAAATATAAAATTTTTGTTGCCAAATAGAAGTTACAGATAAACTTTTATTTACTCTGTGAACTCTGCAAGGTTTATACTTTTAAAGTATTGCACTGCAATTTACCCTGTTCACTGTTGTAAGTTGCTTTGGTAAAGTGGGGGAGGGGGGAGTAACATTTATTTTTTTTATTTTTGTTTTACTATTGCGGAGTAAATAAGTTTTATATCATATTTATCAATGTTAGATTAATGCTCACTAAGATCACAATAGATTGGGGTTTTTCCACAATATTTCACAATAATTCACAATAGATTGGGGTTCACAGTAGCTTGTGAACTTCAACTCTAACAAAACCCAGTTGTTTACTGCAAACAACTACCGTAATATGGTCAACATTCCTATATTAATGAATGGCAATCCTCTTACTGAGTCCTCCTCTTTACCTCTTCTTGGATTATCGCTTACTACTGACCTTTCATGGAAATCATATATACAATCGATTGCTAAATTAACTTCTGCTAAGGTTGCTTCTCTTTATCGTGCTCGCCATTTCCTTACTTCTGATTCCATTCTCTACCTCTACAAATCTCTTATTCATCCCTGTATGGAATACTGTTGTCATATTTTGGCTGGTTCTTCTAATGATTCACTTTCTCTTCTTGACAAGGTCCAAAAACGCATTGTAAATGTTGTTGGACCTGGACTATCTGCTAAGCTTGAGCCTCTTTCCCACCTTTGTAAAGTTGCATCTCTTTCTCTTTTCTACAAATACTATCGTGGTCACTGCTCAAAGGAGTTATCATCTCTAGTTCCATCAACTAAAATTTATTCTCGTTTTACTCGTCATTCAGCTAAGTCTCATTTGTTTACTGTATCTGTCCCTGCATGCTCTAAAAACTTTTATTCATCTAGTTTTTTTCCCCGCACTTCAATCCTTTGGAACTCTCTTCCATCTTCATGTTTTCCTGACTTATACAATCTTCAACTTTTCAAGTCTTCTGTCAACCGTTTCCTTGCTCTATAACTCTGTTCTTTTTTTTCCTAGTAACTCCAACTTAATAGTGGTTGCTTGCAGCCTTGTTGGAAGTAAATGCAAATTAAAAAAAAAAAAAAAAAGGTCTACTTTATAAACCTGAAAAAAAATTTAAAAAAATGAATATAGGAGACAAATGTACTTTTATGAGACAAGTTTAGATTTTATAATTTTGTTGCAACTAGCCACAGTCTTCCCTACTATATTAAAGTTGTAATAGTTTATATAGTAAAGTTTAAATATATATATATATATATATATATATATATATATATATATATATATATATATATATATATATATATATATATATATATATATATATATATATATATATATAATATGTATAAAGTTTGCCATTTGTATGTAATATAGTAATTTTTTTAGCATAATTAAGAGAGTAGTCAACTTTTTAGTTAGAGTACTTTTATTAATTATTTCATTTATTTTTATTTCTTTTTCAAAAGTTTAAATGTTTAGTTTTAATTATTTTACTTTTAGCCTACTACATATCTACCTAATTTATTCTTTCACATTTACTTTTTACATTATTTACTTTTATTTAT